CAGCCATGACAGCACAGGAACACACATCAGGCAACCCAGTCTGCTCCAAAGAGGTCTCATGAAGTCCAGTGCTCTTTGGATGGTGAGAGACATCAGAGCATGACCCCAGCTCTGGAAATGCCCCCTCTAAGTCTACGGGGACCTCTTGGTGGAACAGGCTTAACTCATTTTTGGCATTATTTCACAGTGCTGGACACAAACTGTTTGATCAGCAACCAGCAGAAAACGCCATTATCCTCATGCTTGCAGGGCCAAGGCACTTGGTAGATCAGGAAAGGGCAGCTGAGTTTTGACACCTCTTTACTGGAAACCACAGATATAGAGGAGACCTGCCCCTCTCTGCTACTGGCCTGCTGTCGCAGGCAATGCTGGGACATACCCAGACCCTGCTCGGCACCCCACCGAAGCAGAGCATGGTGCCAGCCAAGCCATGGGAGCTCGCTGGCAAAGCCACAACGCACCTTCTGCCTTGGTTTCTTCGGTCTCCTCCTCTGCCTCCTCTACCTGTTCTTCCTGACCTGTGGAATAACGAGCAGCATGAGTCCAACAGCCACTGGTCCCACTGGCTCCCTACAGACCCTGGTATCAGGACAAATGCGGCATGGAGCCGGCCGAGAGAGAGACCTGGGGGAGACGTAGCCACAGGAGAAAGAAGCAGTGGCTCAGAAAGCAAAAGGCTTCGCTCTAACCTTTACCCAAAAGCTGCTCTCTGTGCTTGGGCAGGGCAAAAAAACCCAAAACTAAAGGATTTATAGCCACCTCCTGGTTTGTCCCTCGTTCCCTCATGCTATCATGCTCTTATACCCCAGGACTGGGGGGGAGTGATTTCTATTGCTCTCCTCTAGTCAGCAAAGAACAAGACTGGCTGGCATTAGAGAATGTGCCTTTGGCACCTTCACAGTCTTATTTATGAAACTGTTGGAGCATTTTTCCACTGGAGGGAGCAGTATCCCCACAAAAGTGATGCCTCCATTGGCGTCAGAGCGATGCTGGGGCCCACAGGTCCTGGGAAGACTTGTGGTCCCACGGCAAGAGAGAAGGAAAGAAGAAGAAGATAGCGAACCACGAGTGCATTTGGTTGATAAATGTAAGAGACAAGCCACAGGCACAGGAGCAGATACACACAGCACAGCAGGGCAAGAAGTGGGGAGTGCAAGAAGCAAGAGAGAGAAGTGGAAGAATGAAAGAAAACCATTTCCCAACCACGGAGAGGCAAAAGACACACCGACCCACGACATATTCACAGCAGCAGTGGAGAGATGACATAAAGAAAGGTGCAATAACTACCGTCTTCTTCCTCTATCCATTCTTCCTCTTCTGAGCCAGGGAGGAGGGAAAGGAATAAGTGCAGAGGTTAGTCGGACGCCACAAAGCTGTGGAATGTAGCTATGGCGTGCATGAGATGAGGACTCTAGCACTGCAGTGGTTTCCCCCTTGTGCCTCTCTTCGCTTTTAACGTTCAGGATGTTTTGCCGTGCAGCAGCCCGGGCTGCCTGGCAGTGCCCTGAAGCAGCAAGAGGCTCAATAAAACCCAGCTCCCAAACCCAGCCCCAAATGCACAGCCCAGCTGTGTCGCAGAGCGGCTGCGTGCACCATGGGGATTGTTTCTTCTCAGACTGAGGCAGTTGGAGGTTCATGCTTGAGCATCATTAATATTCATTAATATACATTCAGCTGAGGCTCCAGCTCCCATTGAGTTATTGGGCTCACACCTCTGTCAGCACCCGAGTCCAGCATTTCCACCCCTGTTCTGAGTCAAGGGATCACTCTGACAAAATAGATCCTGAGAAAATTCAGACTGGTTTTGATCCTACTGATGTTTCAGGTGGAGGAATCTAGAACATGGTCTTACCTGCCTTTCCTGGTCATGATTTTCCCATTTCAGTCTAGGAGCTTACCACCACAACCCACCCAAGCAAAATACTGAACCAACAGCACTTGTCTCTTGGTCCTTGCAACCACCAGTGAAACACCTACCTTCTTCCACGTACTCCTCTTCACAGAGCACACGTGCGCATGGGAGAGAGGGAAGGGAAAGAACACACAGATTATTGAAGTTGCTCTGACCATTTCTTAGCTTCAGCCTCGGGGCAGCTGCAGATGCTCCACGTACTCTTACCTTCCTGCTCCCTGCAAAGCACAACACAAATTTCCAGAGTTATAGCGATCTGCTGCAACGGGGCACCTCTGTCCACCAGTGAGGTCAAAGGGGAGTTTGAAATTTCCTCAAGGCTAGCTCCCCTTTTTCATAGTGATGGGCAGGCTGCTGTGTGGCATGCTGTAAGGTGGCAGTGGGGACAGGACAAGACCACCCTGCAGTCTGCAGATAGCAGGAGCTGAAGTGCTCAGCTGACACTTTGACAGTGGTCAGAGCACAACACCATTTTCCAGCTTCAGAAGATCGAGTGACTGTGGCCTGTCATCCTAGAAATGGGCGTCTCACATCCCACCTTTGCCCCAAAGTCCTTTCCTGACCTTGGGGGAGATGCAGTCTGTCCTTGGGTGTGCCCAGGGGACACTGGGCACAGGGGTCAGACTGATGGCCAAGACATGTGAATCTGTCGTGGCATTTAAACATAAGAGAAGGATTCAGATCTACTTTTTCTGCTGGTGGATGAGAAGTAGGAGCTGTGTTTGGACTGATCCCTATAACCATGTACTGCAGATATTGAGCCCCTTCTCTCCAGGGTACGCCTCATGGCCCAGCAGCCCTCACCAGCAAAAGTTGCCCTCAGATTTGGGCCTTGGGGATGCTCTGGATGTGGCAGCAGGACCCCAGCAGCCACAGACTGATGACATCAGCTTTTCCCAGCTCTATCTCACTGATTTAGACTGCAGCATTTTTAATGCAGGGACTGTTCCTTGCCATGTATGTGATACATCTCCTAACGCAAAGCTCCCCACTGCTGGGGGTCTCGGCACTATCACAGCAGCGGTGCAGATGGGCACGGGGTGCAGGTATTTCATGCTGGGTGCTGAGGTAATGACGAGAGCCGGTGCCCCCCGAACGGCACCTCTAAGCGATACTGTGACCCTGTGGGAAAGTGGGAATAAGGAGAGAGAAAGGGTGTTTAAAAACACACCACTTACTGCTCATATTCTTCGGCGACCTCTTCAGAGTCCGACATGCCTGGTTATCTAGCAGAATTCAAGGCAGATTGGAACAAACGAGGGTTAGGAGCTGAGATAAGGACAAGCACAGCCTGTCCTCCAGCGCCCGAGACACGGGCACAGAGATGCTGCGTCTCTCCAAAGCGCTTGGAGCTTTGAGCTGTCCCCAGCCGGGCTGTGACAGCTTTATCTCAGCAGAGATAAGGCTCCCCCCTCCCCTCCTGTCCCAGGATCACAGCTCGCCCCAAACGGGAGGCAGGAGATTAGACACAGCCTCATGCAACACTGATAACTGCTGTCAGGAGCCATGTCCAGGGCACGCAGCTCCCCTTGCCGCAGACATCTCAGGGTGCTGTGTTTGCTCACGGCACAGGAAAATAACCCAATTATAACCTTCAGCTTGTTTTGCTTCCTGACTATTCTTAGCTCGGTTGGGATATAGAAACTTGCAGGGACGTCCTGTTATCTCAAATTTACAGCCCTGCACAAGCCACAGCACAAGATCTCGGTGAGACCTCCCAGCCCAGCCCTCCAAGTGCAGAGCATGCTCTGGAAAGGGCCGACCTGGGCTCAGCAGGAGCATTTCTCTCCTGGTCCTGGCCCTGAGACTGAAGTTAGCTAAAAGGAATAGCTAACCTGGTTTAGCAATAGGGCTAATAACTGCGGAAACAGCCATGCTCATCTTCCCAGCACTCCCAGCCATGATCAGGAGGACTTTACTCATTGTCCCACCTCATCTGGCTTCCACCTAATGCTCCACCACAAGGTCTGCACAGACCAGCCTCATGTTCAGCCCCTGCCCTGGGCATCTCAGAGTAGCCCTGAGCATCAGCCCAAGCCCCTGCACAGCCTGTCCACCGCTCATGTTCGTGCCAGACCTCGGCAAAGCTGAGATGCAGCAGGACAACGCAAGGCAGCTCTAGAAATAACTTCCATGTGCTGAACCACCTGTTCCCAGAGCAGCGCCGCTTCACTTCTCCTGCCGGGCGTCTGGGAACAACTGGTCCTGGCTACATATGTTGAGCATTTATTACCCGGGTTGGGTACGACAGGCTTCAGGATTGCTTATTCAAGATGCTGAACCCAGGACTGGAATCCGCAAGCACGGGAAAGACACATTACAGGAGGCGCGCCTCTGCATACCCGTGGTTCCCGGGGGGCTGTCAAATCTCACTTCTGAGCAATGACTCAGAAGGTGCTTTTTGGAGACAAATGAAGTCAGAACTCAGCCCCGTCTGCCTCCGGTTCACCGCCTGCTTCTGCCGTCATCATTCCCTTCCCCCTGATGCATCCGGGGCTTGGCCCTAAGCACCCCCCTCCAGCATCATCCCCTCGATCTCTGCTCCCCCTTGAACATCAGTTCCTGGCCCTACTTTTTCCCCAGGCTTGGCATGGTCCTGCTGCCCCCAGAGTTTGGTCAAATTATTTATGTGGCCTCTGAGGACCTAGGACTTCATGTAGTCCTCTCACGACACAAGAGCGGAGACTCCCTCCTGGCCATGACAGCGCAAACATGCATTTGTGAAAGCTTATTTCTACATTTCCTTTCACCTCCTCTCTCATACATCACTAGATCCCACAGAGCATTTGCTGAGGAACAGCAACAAAACCAGGACTGTTAAGGGGGTTCCCAAGAAAAACTAATGTTACACCAGAAAGTGGCTCTAGGAAATGTTTATCCATCCTCTGCAGAAACAGATAAACCTTTCCATTAAAGCTTTGAAATCTTGTTTTGAAAGAATTAGGAGAACCCAGCAGATGTATTACAGAGTTAAAAAGGAATCATTGCACATATTATTGACTGAAGAAAAATCTCCCATCATTTGCTGTGGATTAAATACTCCAGATATCCCTCCCAATCCTTAAAATCCCCCTCTCCATTACCTGAGGGCTGGCTGGTCAAACCTCTGGGGCTGAGTTAATCCTCCACAGTCCACAGTCCCTGCTTTCCTCCAGGCTACCCAGACATGGAACATGGAGCTCTCGTTTCCCAGCATTTGCTCCAGTGTGGGTCTCGTCGCTGCTCCCTTCCTGCTTGGCAGGGTCAGACCATGCAGGGGAGCATCCCACCTCTAACCCACCCCACGGGTTGCCAGTGAGCCAGGGCCAGGCTGACCTGACTCCCCCACTGGCATCGCATCCCTCTTGTCCCCTCCAGAGACACAGGGAATAGGGATCTATGAGATTGCCCTGGCACCAGGGTAGCCAAAATCCTTCTCAGATGCCTTGGCACACATTGGGGTGGTTCAAAAGGTGTTAGGCAAGTTGCAAACACACCCCCCTGGAGAGGGTCCTGATGCTTTATCCGTGGGAATGCCTTCATGGCAAAAATACATCCCAGTGCAAGCGGCTGGGGAGGACCATTAACCCCGAGCCAAACCCCTTCTGGGTCTTTAACTGCCCTTCCACTGAGCATCCTACGCCGCGAGCAGGCACCCCACCGCCCCAGCCTTACCTCTGCCGTGGGGCACCGGTGAGATCCCAGGGAGCCGAGGGGAAGCTGGCAGGTGTCTGGGAAATGCTCTTTGGGGGCAGGAGGCTTTAAGGGGGCTCCAGCGCCCACCCCGGGGCGGGCAGCGCCGCAAGGAATGTGCCTGGCGCCCAGTGAGGAATGCAACACTTGTGAGCTGCTATTTCAGCAGCCCCGGCCCCGGCCCCCTCCGTCGCTCCCCCTTCCCCCCCAGGAGCCCATATAAGCCCAAGCTATTGTGTGGCCTCAGAGATTTGCTATTTTAAACCCTCCGGACTGAGATACGCGAGTGCCCAAGGGGCTGACACAAGCCAGCCAGCTGTCACTTTCTAGGGCCGGGGACACTGATAAGGCGACGCTGCCACGAGCGGAAGACCAGACCCTCCACCGCAGCCCCTGACCCGGGCTCGCTCAGATGCTGCACCGGGTCCAAGATGCTGTAATGAGAAGGAAAGAGTCTCCGGCTGCTTTTACCCCCCGCAGAACATGTTTGTCTCGGGTTTTTGCCTGTTTTCCTCTTGCCAGAAGAAGGGAAGCAAACCGTTCGTGGCCCCAGCCCAGGAGCAAGTGACCGGGACCATCTTAGAAAGAGCAACTTTTATTAGAAAAAAAAAAGGCACAGAGAAAACCAAGTCCTTTCCAAAGCCCAACAAGCAAGATCAGATCCCGGGGCAGCAGTAGAGTCCCACACCGAATTTGGACACCGCAATGGTTGCTCAAGGCACAGCCCTAGCCCATTGAATGGCCCCGGCACAAGGATTTGCGCATCATCTTATGGGCTGCTCATGGCACCCTAAAGCCAGCCTCGAGAGAGCACCCTGCTTCCCTTCTGGGTGGGCTCAGCAGCCTGGGGAGTGCAGGACCAGGGGTCTGCATAGCCACGGGCAAAGGGCTCAGGAGGAAGGGTGAGAGGGAAATGGCATTTGCAGAAGGGGCCCAGCACAGGGCGCTCAGATCCACGCAACCCCAAAAATAGGGCCGTGGCCAGCCCAACCTTGCCATATCACTAAGTGAAAGGGGTCACTGCTTGTAGGGAGCAGGGGACAGTAAGGGCAGATTAGAGAAGGCCAAGTCTCTGGCTCTGGCTCAGCTGCGTGCTGGAGGGAAGCACCAGGGCAGTCAGGTCCACCCTTCCTCCATGAGGCATCTCCAAGCTACACTGGCGCACTTTGCAAACACCGTTTGCCTTTGGTTGGGTCCCTCCAGCAGTGACAGCCTGGGAGGCGGGGGTGACATCTGCCTGCCCCACACGAGCCAGGCAGCAGGGATGGACACAGTCCATGGACGTGCAGCTGAAACTCCCTTGGCCAGGCAGCTTCTTGCCCCAGTGACATCATCCAGCTGCAAGGGCGATGTATAGATTGATCCCCTTTGCAAGCACAGTTACGGGGCACAGGCAGAGATTAGGAGGAAAACACCAAAATGTTGTGGGGAAGCGAGGCAAGAGTCTGCCTTCAGCATTTGCAAGGAGCCTCCAGGCCTGGGCACTCCCGGGCAGGCAGTAAGTGAGGACTGGGGGCGCAGGGATAATCTTCCAGCCTTCTTCCTTCCCATCCCACAAGCAGAGGACCCTGGAGACCTGGGGTGCACCCACACATGGCACGGGGGACTCTCATGGCAGTGGGCTGCTGGACGGTTGGGTAGGGCTGGGCTTTGATCTTCAGAGCAAAACAGTTTTTCCCAGATCATCTGATATTATTACAACTGATATTATTACAACTGGAAAAGAAAGTGAGAAACAGTAAGGCCAGGCCTGAGGCTGCACACCCCTCAAAGGCAGCTACTTTCATCAGGACCATACTCATCCCGAACAGGGGATGGGGCAGGCAGGCATCCCCTAAATCCCACCACATGCCACTTCCTTTCCTCTCCCAGACCAGACCCCTTCTCACTCTTACAGCTGCCCCGAGTTGTTCCCTCCTGCTGACTCCCCCAAGTCATGGGGTCCTGGATGTCCCACATGACCCCTCGCCCCCCGTAGGCTGGTTCTCCCATGCCTGCCCTGTGGGAGATGCACTAGCGGGCAGGTCCCGGCTCTGCCCCTAGCTCAGAGGATGCAGCAGTTTTCAGAGCAGCTCCATGTCTACCTTGGTGTCTCCAGGGGTGTCTCCAGGCTGCTTTACCCAGACATCACGGTTTGGCAGGCTGTTTATTTTCCTGATGTCCTGCAAACAGGAGAGTCGTAAGTGGCACAAGAAGGTTTCCCCATGCATCATGTGCACTGTTGCCTTGGTCTGACTTTAACCAAACCTTGAAGCATACATGCTCCAGGTAAAACCAGCCTGCTTTGAGATCCTGCACCTGGGAGACCCTCATGACCAAGTGCAGCTCCAGCCCACAGAGATTGATGGCAGCAGGCGTTATTATAGGAAAAACTGATAAAGGAGCTGAAAGCTTTACCCAAGAGTGACCCCAGGAGCAAACCCTTTCCTGGCAGACACAGAGCCAGCACAGCCTCCTGGTACAGACACGTTTGGGCAGAGTTAATCTCTGCAGCTCAGCGCTGGGGGTGCCCGGGCTTGCCTGCCTGGGCTGCAGGGCTGGGCTGGAGCTGCCCCTCCTGGTCCTGTACACAGGTGGCTGCAGGAAACTCTGCTATGAGCAGTGGCAAAACACCTTATTGTTGAAACAGTGATACCTCCCCAGGACTTGCTGAACCTTTCCTTTCCAAATACAGTAAACTACCGTGAGGAGAAAGGGTCTCCTGTCCGTCTCCCTCACATCCATGTCCCTGGAGCAGCCGTGGTGGCAAGGGGGTGGCCTCTGAGTCCCCTTAGCTGGGCACTTTGCCCCAACAGCTACAAGACACCATACTTTTGGGGGCTGGGATACACACAGGGATGCAGATCACTCCAGACCCCACATGCAGCAGGACGTCTCAGTGCACACACAGGTCTCCAAGCCTCACAGACCCCAGTGCTGAAGGACCAAGCATACGGCTCATCTCCCAGTGGCCTCCCGGTCAGAGCTAGTCCTCCAGACACTGGCAGAGGTGGGATCATGCTGGGGTGGTCTCTCTCATGGTGGCAGGGTCAGGTCCCCCTGTATGTTCCCTGGGACACGCACCCAGCTTGTGCCTGCTCTCTCCTCACCCTGGGCTGGGAGCAGCTGCCTCGGGCACTTTGCAGTCAGGATCAGGGCACAGCAACAAGTAGAGCCTGTGGTGGCCCTGCAGCACCCAAACCTGGTCTCAGGGCTCTAGCCCGAGGTGTCGGCACAAGCCGGTACCTTGCTCTTTTCCTCCTTGGCAGGCTCCTGAGCTCGGCTGATCCACAGATTAATGCGGGATGTCACTGATCCCGGGATCTTCAGGTTGTCCTGTGGCACAGAGAGGGACACCAAGGTTACAGCAACAACTGTCCCACTGCACGAACGTAACCCAGGACAGTCTCCAAGGCATGGGGAGACCGAGCAAACCTGCAACAGGCAGAGACCAGCCTACACCTTGGCTCTATCCCAGCTCCTCAAACACCAGTGCATCGGCACAAACCCACACACCGCCAGAGCACAGTTTCGGTGGCAGCCCGTGCCCGAGCCCAGCCCTGCCCGGCACCACTCAACAAGCACTGAACTCCCACCAAACTGCATCCAGGCAGCAGCCTGCCGGAGAGTGCGTTGGTATCCAAACAGGGGAAGATTTGTCCAAAAAACTGGTGCCTGCCCTGGCACAGGACCCCGCTGGAAGTTCCTCGCTCAAGCCGGCTCCTGCTCTTACCTTCCTGACAGCAAGTGGCTCAGCCTTGCTGGGAGCGCTTGCCTCAAAGAAGTTGCGCTTGCTGGCCACCCCCTCCGAGGACAAGAGGCTCTTCTGAATAGTCAGGGATGATTTCACCACTTCTGAGCGCTGGGAGGAGAGAGGGGCATCAGCAGGGGCACCCCAAGCTGCACCCCAAGCAGTAAAAAGCAAAATTCCTGCTTCTGGCTTGCGTCCCGAGTCCATTGGGGTCTTCTCCCTCCCTGCCCATCACCAGCTCATGGGCTTGCTCCGCTGCTCCCCGCAGCAGGACCATGCAGCAACCCTATGACCCTCTCCAAGGGATATCTCCTCCTGCTCCTGAAACCCTGAGGCCGATCCCTTTTTCTGCCTGGGACCATCCTCTTCAACCCCATTAGCAGTGCAGCCCAGTCCCTCTCTCCCTTCCCCGTTCAGCTCCAGGCCACCCCTCTCCCTCTTCCCACACATCCCTGCCATGCCAGCCCAGCTATGCCAAGGGTTTTCGGTACCTGCACAGCTGAGGTGTACTTTTCCAGCTTCTCCCCAATGGTGGTGCTGCTGCCCGGGATCCTCAGACTCGCACTGGTGAAGAGGGGAGAGAGTTGAACACAGCCCCCTCAGGATCTCCTGGGACTCAGCCCATGGTCCTGGAGGACTCCACTTGGCAGGAGAAGACCCCGTCCAACACAGGCACTTCTCCTGCATCCGTCTGCCAAGTGAACCAAGGCAGCTCATTCCCTGCTGGGTTTCATCCCCTTACTAGGGCCACACTGTACATTCAAAAATAGCTCTGAGCTCCTCAGTTTACCCTGTCTTCACCACTGCCAGGTCTGAACTGCATTTTCACCAACAGCAGTATGAGTTTGCCTATAGTATGCACAAGTGCAAGCCCAGGTGCCCTTAAGGCCCCACTCCCCTGCCCTGTAGGTGGGAGAGGGCATCCTATCGACTCCCTGCAGTCAGACCTGAGCCCTCGGTTCCTCAAGAGGGTTTAAGCCACCTGTCCAAACCTTGCCATGGAGATGTGGAGGATCACTTGATCTGGCCACCAAAGCCAGATCAGGTTGCTCGTGGACCTGTAGAGTGGGTTTTGATATCTCCAAAGATGGGACCCTGTTGTGGTGCTGCACTGCTCAACACTTAACCACTCCTGTGCAGACACAAGCACCGATGAGAAACTACATCAACCAAGAGACAGCAGGGGCTAGCTGGAGGGATCTTGTACAGATGCAAGCTGTACATTGCACATTGTCCTGTCCTCTGCTAAGCATCGCTGCCTGGTCAGCCAGGCACCCCAGAGACCAACGTTCAGCAGACCTGTGCCAGGGCACTCACTAGCTGGTACCAGGTCCTATCACCTCCTCCTCCTCCCTTGGAAAACAAAGGATGACCATTCCCACCCAGCAAGACCAAAGTAATATGAAGAGAGGTGCTGACCTCCTTGTGAGAGGGCTTTGGCTTTCTTCTTTCTGTTTTCTTGAGATCATCTGGAAGACACAAGGAGAAGAGATACTGGAGCCATCTTTGGTTATCAAAGGTAAACATGGGAGAAACTGCCTCAGACTTGTCTCCCCCATTTTCAAGCAAGCTCCATTTTCACTCACACCAGACCTTAGCTCATATCTCAAAGCTCTCCAGACTAAAGACAGTTTGTAGTGCTAACAGTTTTATTCGCAATAAAGCACCATGAAAGTCAATTAAGCCTAGCCAGTCAGCCCTGAATCACAGCAGGGAGGATCGCAACAGTTCTTGGTTTTCCCAGCCTCTCCAAGCACTTTATTCCAGAGATCTTTTTTGGGGGAGGCTAGAGTTGAAGATATTCTCAGGGATGTAACAAGGGACAAGAAGGAGGATGGATTTTATTTTTATCCTGTGCTCTCAGAGAAGAAGACTAGAAATGCTGGAGGGTGGATGGCCATTCCTGTGACTCTTGGGGAAATCTGAGGACAATGAGCTCCCTGTTTTCTCATCACTTCCCACAAGGTTCCATGCCAGCACAAAGAGTATGAACATGGGCATGTTCATCATCACAGGCCTTCGGTCAGACACGAAGAAGGAAAACAAAGGAAAGACTGAAACAGAACGACAATGCCTGATCAAGGGTGGATTTTGAACACACTTTTGGGAACAGGCTCTGCCAACATAACCTGGAGACCAAAGCAACCCTTCCCTGTCACCATCCTCCACTGCCTAAATGGGGGTCTTTCTCCCACTTGCTTTGGCTCTTACCCGAAAGGAGACAGTTCTTGGGCTGGTTCGTCTGATGGAGCTGCTGTAGGTGACATGAGTTGGAGAAGTATCTGACTTTTCTACAGCTTCATCTTGGGTGGGAGACACCTGCATTACCTCCTTTGAGGGATTCCTGGATGGTTGCTGAGAAAAAAGCAGACATCTGATGCATCCCTGCAGAGTCTGCAGAGAAGGTTGAGGCACAGGGAGGAGAGCAGCTAGGGTGGGAACCGGTTTGGAGGCAGGAGTTTGAGATCGAAATCCTCCAAACCTTGGCTGTCTCACTCGGATACACAAAGCCCCGGACACCTCTTCAGTGAAACCATGATGGCAATTAGTAGGGGCTTGCCAGAGAAGGTGATCAGAATAGTACATGCAAGGGAGGGAAAGGAGGTAGTGGGACCCTGTCCACCACCTCGTGGTTTGCAGCTCTCAGAAAAACCTTCCCCAAAAGCCCACGGGTCCCATTTCCCTCCTGGTACTTTTGGGCTCTCCATCTCTCTGTTGTCCTCCCAGCACCCAGGACTTCACACCCCAAGGGTCAGTGCCTTGTCCATTCCTCTTCACCTGTTGGTCCAGAGATGAGGTGAGTACT